CCTAGCTTTTGTGGTTCCTGAGTTGGAAGTGCGGGACAAAATGTGGGACTCACACACAAACACACATACAGACAACCCCGTGACAATATGCGTTTTGTAACGCTGTTACACAGCACAAAACGCATAAAAAGGAAAGAACGGAAGAGTAGGGTATATTTATGTTGGAAATACTAGAAGGTACAGAAGAGCCAAAATAGTGGTGCTGAATTTCTCAGTACGGAAAGGACTAATAGAGATTAAGGAAGCTACGAAATTGGGAAAACAAGGAGCGGACCAAAATAGTAAAACAGTATATATTGTCAATAAGATACAGGACATGTAGTAAGGACATGTGTGAGGGCTAAATTTAGGCTTTGCTGCGAATGTTTCATCCCTAAGCTGCAAACACAGACAGTATTCGGTGTGGAATGGGGAATGGTAGCTGCATTCATAAATATTTGATTTTTAAGCTGAACTTATTTTGTTGATCTCCTCGATTGAAGCATTTGCTAGCCAAGATGTATAGGGTTGAATTTTTAAATATTCGGAGATGTTTTTTTTTTAGGAAAATCCTCGTATCAACGATTGGTTGCGCTTGGTGGAGAGTGAAATGCAAAGCACGCTGGCACATCTCCTGAATCAATCGTTGTCAGCATTTGCCAAATTTGATATGAATTCGGTTGAACCACAAGAATATATGGCTTGGCTTGACCGATATCCAGTAAGTGCTAAGGAGGCTACGAAATTGGGAAAACAAGGAGCGAAGCAAAATAGTAAAACAGCATATGTTGTTAATAAGATACAGGACATATGTGAAGACTAAATTTGAGCTTTGCTGCCTGTGTTTCATCCCTAAGCTGCAAACATCAAAGGCAATTGCTAAAATTCGGCCTGGTCGGCACTATACACGATTTGCGAAGAATTTTTTCTGGTGGTGGCGGGTAACTTTACCCGCCGTGGTGCAAAGGACTTTAAATGCCGCAGATGGGATGATGATGGGGAGATGATGTACGTAAGTTTCGTACGTGGGGGTTCGGGGCAGGGGAAGAGGGTTAGGTGGATGAATTAAATGGCTGCGTGGCGTAGATCCTTTGACGGTTGCCTGGGCAAAGTACGTTAGGGAAGGAAGAAGCAGACGACAATGAGAGGGGG